TTTTTTTTTTTTTTTTTTTTTTTTTTTTTTTTTTTTTTTGTTTTTTTTTCTTCCCCTTCTCTTTGCCAGGTCTTGAAAGGCAAAAATGACTCATTCTTAATAGTTCTGACTGGAGCTGGTTCAACCGTAGACTAGGCGTCATGGTTGGCAGCAGCTACCTGCCGGGTAGGACAGCCAGAGGGGAAACAAAAATGTTTGCAGCAGCTTTTAATTTTCCTCTCTAAAATGCTTATTTGACCTTTATGTTGTCGTCATCCCCCCCCCCCTTTTTTGGTGATCTGTGTGGCCGTTTTATTCCTATATAGGGTAATTAGCTTTCAAGTGAAGCATTGGTGAAAATGTTCCAGCTCGGCATCCCCTCGGAAGTGCCGACATGCCATCCATCAAAATGCTAAGCGGAATGCAGCGTGACCTTGTTTAACAATGGATCAGTACAGCGATGTCCGCGGCGGAGATCAGCATGAAGCGGTGATGCTATCTGCAAACATCCCAGCTCTGCAAAACACAGGATGCTATTTCAAAGTGGACTTCATTGCTGCACAGTGTCTTGGCAGGATTTAAGCTGGCAACAGAAGTCTAGGTGATGGGGTTCCTTAAAAATAATCACGTTGCTGTGTAGTGACATAAAACAAGATGTTTTGCTATCCAGCAATCCTTTTAATTATGCTAATACGGGCTTGGCATCTAGCTGATAAAGTAATGCACTGACGGATTTATTATATCATGACTTTATACAAATCATTTTACAGATTTGTGCTTCCTTCCACCTCTTCCAGTCCACCCCTGGAACACTGACATATTTTCGGTGTATTTCTCGTCTCAGACTTACATATCTGGGTTCATTTCAAGTTATTAAACCTGAAAGAATTTTTAAAGTCTAATTTATTGTCCACCACCTGCACTGCCAATTTGCTTTTTGGATTCCATTCAGGACACTGTCATTGTCTATGTCTCATCCGCAACTGCATTGCACAGGAGACATCAGCTCTTAAAAAGAAGTGCGATAAAGAGCTTCCTTTTCATAAACAGGTCAGTTTTCATGCAGATGCATTTTAGTAAAATACCACATCCTGCCTTGATAGCTGGAACCTACCATGTCTAAGGGTACTCTCTGCTAGAATCTGGACAAGTCTCGTCTGCCATCCAAACTAAGAGGGGAACTTGAGGCTCCTCTGCCCTTCCCCTTCTCCTGCACAAATGCCATTAGCCCCCTCTCCTTTAACTGCCAAAATTACTGTTAAATATCCACGCTGTTTCTAATGCCACTTGAGAAATGACCGTGTCTGTACGTTAGTTTAGATTTAGAAAGTGGGAGAAGCGAAAGAGCTGAGTTCTCTTTCTGACAGCTCCTTCCCATATTGTGTCCAAATAACAAGGTGCGGCTGATTCTCCTTCCATCTTTTCTGCAGGATGGTGTAGAACAGCTCATCACAAACTGGACGAGGAGATGGGTCATTAAAGGTTTCACCTCGTCCGCATTAAGTTACTCTTT